TCTCTCTCTCTCTCTCTCTCTCCTTCTCTCTGCCTCTTCCCCACTTACACACACATTCTCTCTCTCTTTCAAATAAAAAGAGTCGGTCACTTAACCGACTGAGGCACCCCCCAAATTCTTGTTCATATATAGGTATTTTAGTTTTGAAGGAACCATTAAGACTGCTTGAGGATGACACGAAATGTCATACAGTTTCTTATTTTCAGTTACTCTCTCTTCTGTGCTCCAGTAGCACGTCTGTGCTCTTTAATGACTCTGGAGTACATTGTAATTCTGTCTCTGGAACTCAGTTCCAACCTGGAATAGTTATGACTTGAGGGCAGGCCCGTGTCTTGTTTACCAGTGCCCCTATAATGCTGTGGCTGGGATATGGTAGATGTGCAATAAATGTTGTCGGGCAAACCAATGAATGGACAAATAGGCTGAGTAAAGTGTGGTGGGTGGAAACCATGGCAGACAAATTTTACCTCTCACGCTGACAGGTGCAGTGTCTCGGTCCACTGCCCTGCGTGCATGGCAAGGGGAGGAGAGGGAAATGCAGGCAAATGCTGTGGCGCTCGGCCTTTCCGGGGCCCTATCTGTTCTGCCTGTGTAGTGGATGCCACCGGCCCCATACCTCTCATCACCTTCACAGGCCAGTTTCTCAAGAGTTTTGATCTTCCCTGCCTCAATGTTCTTACTGTCCAGTCATTCCTCAGTCTCAAGGACTCTGACTTCTACCCTCACTAGTCCACTAAACCTGCTTGTCTCTGGGTCCCCGGTGACTCTACTGTTACCAAGTGCATGGATATTCCTGGTGTTCCTGGCTGTATTTGACATTGTTGACTACTTTTTCATTAAAAAAAAAAAAAAAAAAAAAAAAAAGCTCTTTCCTGGCCTTTGCAAGGCGCTCCCTCCTGGGTACTCTCTGCCTTTCTTTCTCAGTCACTTGTGTGACTATCATTTCTTTCTTTATCCATGTTTATGGGTTAGGGTTCCTTAGGCTTCCGCCTCCGGTGCTCTTTGGTCTTCCTGATTCGTCTCAGTCTCTCTCTTGGCTTCAGTGAATATCTCTTTCTGCCGAAGGCTCCCTGATGTATACCTTAAACTCACAAGCTGAATCACGCCAGTTCTGCCTTTTCCATAATGTTCTTGTCTATCCGCCCCACTGGTGCTGTCCTGGATCTAGAATTTCCCCACTAGTCTTGCTGCCCTCAACCTATTTTCATAAGAGCAACCTGAGTGATCTTTCTGAAATATAAAGCTAAGTATGCCACTCACGCTTAAAACCTCCACTGCCTCCAGGATAAAGCCACAGTCCCTCCCTGGTCTCCACAGCTCTCTGTGACCCGACCCCCTCCCCTCCTCCAGCCTCTTATCTTGCCATTGTCCCCTCTCTCACTTGGTCCTGGCCTTCTCTGCCACTGGAAGCTATCTCGAAATCCCAACTGTGCTAAATTCTTTCTGGTTCCTGATCTTCACTTGGAAATTTCTCCTTTGCCTCTCTTCCACCTCACCTCCCCCCTCAGCTAGTAATCTCACTTACAGATGCCTCTCCCTTCAGGAAGCCACAAGGCCCTCCCGTGTGTGCCCACCATGCTCCGTACCTGCTCTCTCGTAGCATCTCCACGTTGATGTGGAACTCCTTACTAGTGTCCCTCTTCTGGACTTTAAGCTCAGTGGCAAGGGGAACCATATTTGCCTCGTGTCCACTATATTGGAGGGCATGCCTCAGGACTGGCTGAAAAGTCAAGTCTTTTGGGGAAGCTTCTGTACTAGGAAATTCTTGTTCTAATAGATTTTAGTTATTTATAAACTGTGTTTGCTAAGTAATTATTTTGTTTCCTACTTTAATTAAGAAAATTATGGGGCGCCTGGGTGGCGCAGTCGGTTAAGCCAGGTCTTCAGCCAGGTCACGATCTCGCGGTCCGTGAGTTCGAGCCCCGCGTCGGGCTCTGGGCTGATGGCTCAGAGCCTGGAGCCTGTTTCCGATTCTGTGTCTCCCTCTCTCTCTGCCCCTCCCCCGTTCATGCTCTGTCTCTCTCTGTCCCAAAAATAAATAAACGTTGAGAAAAAAATTAAAAAAAAAAAAGAAAATTATAGAATGCCTAACATGAACTAACTTATCTTAGGCTAAAGTGAAAAAGTTGACACTTTGGTTAGGCTTGTAGCCTTATCTTGGGGAAACGTATGATTTCTCTTAACGTTTTTTGAAGTATTAGGAATAAATTAAGGATTCCTTTTACCATCTTTGACAATACCTAGGGGCCCAGGTACCCTTGACTATAAACCATATGGCTCAATATCTTCAGCATAAAGTAATTGTGGTGGAAAGAGCTAGATTTGTAGTCTCATACACATTTTTCAAGTACTCACTCTCTTAGCCACTGTGATGCTCAGTTTTACTCAGCTGCAACATAGAGTTAATATCTTCTTCATGGAATTGGTATACATTAAATTTAAAAGATAATCTAAACGACGTGCCTGATACAGTGCCTCGCATATAGTCCATGTTCAGCAAAAAGTAGGCATTATTATAATAATGAGACAACCAGTGTAGAAAAGGTTAAGTGAGTTGCCAAGAAGCTGAGCTTTGCCAAGTAGAGAACTTAGAAAATAAAAGGTTTCTCATTCTGATCCAGGATTTTCGCTATGTAATCCTGCTGCCATTCAGAGAAAGGGGCACTGGTGAAAACAGTTAAATGTATTAATGGTGGGAAGGTTTGGCCCATTTCTCTTTCCTTTGTAGGGATTCCATTGAGCAATGAAGGGATGCATTTTCTTTTCTTTTTTAATTTTCTTAATGTTTACTTATTTTTGAGAGAGGGAGACAGAGTGTGAGTGGGGGAGGGGCAGAAAAAGAGGAAGACACAGAATCTGAAGCAGGCTGTAGGCTCTGAGCTGTAAGCATAGAGCCTGATGCTGGGCTCGAACTCACGAACTGTGAGATCATGACCTGAGCCGAAATCAGATGCTCAACCAACTGAGCCACGCAGGTGCCCCAGGATACTTTTTCAAACAGAGACAGGTTGGCAGCTGGGACTGACTTGCATGAGGACCCAAGCCTCAGCCCTGACGGATGAACCTGGGCCTGAGGCAAAGTTGCAGAATATGCCCGTGTCACTCACATGTCCCTCCTACTTCATTGTCAAGACAGCAGTTTAAGCCAGGAGCACCATATAAATGTACACATAATTTTAGTCATTTCAGTTCTTTCAGGGAGAGAATATTTTATCTGCTGAGTTCCTTGAATGAGACATTTACTTAGAACAAACAAGATGTGTCACAGGCTCTCCTGGATGTCCCTGAACAATTGAGCTACCAACCCTCTCTCTCTCTCTATCTATTTAAAAGATTTCATTTGCATAGGAGCTTTGAGGTTTAGTTGTGGTTATTTTTTTCTGGCTTTCTTTTTATACCTACAGGAGGCAGTTGGTAGGAGGTAGCCGAGTGGCCACCTAAGGCAGAGATGAGAAAGAAGACGGCAGGGTGGGTGTGGGAGACATGGTGGGTGTGACCCTGACTAGTCCCAGGCTGTGACATACTAGACAAGGGTTCCAGGGACAGCTGTGCCCGAGCTGTGCTGCTTCTGAGCTTGTTGCGCTCAGTTGCATCCAAGGGGACTCTGTCCATTTCTGTACAGAATACTGTCCCTAACACGGCAGGGGCACGCCCAGCAGGGCAGTGTTCTTCTTGCTGTTGATTTCACCAGCAGTCGCCAGCTGAGAGGGAGTAGACTCATGAAGAAACAAGAGCAGAACTTGACCCTAACCACATTTGGGAAACACCTAGAAATAACTGTTCCATTTCTTGGGGTGGGGAAAGGAGCGCTGACATCCTGTTGGTGAGAGATAATGAGTCAGCAAAGTGTGGGGCATTCGTGCTTATGTGACTTCTACGTACCCACAAGAAGACGTTTGGGATGATAAAGTATGAAATGCAGGTAGCATCATTTATTACAAGAGCGGGTCTCATACGCGGCGCTTCCATGCCTGTGGATCACTGGCTGATGAAGAATAATGAGGGGCCAAACAGATTCGGCCCACCAGAAGCCAGCGATCACATGTTCATGGCTTATTGCTGATTTCAACTGTTGCTTATTTCGGACTGTTATCAAAATTTGGTCACTTTGCTGTACTGGCAGTTGGTGCGGCACTTGATAAGTGGAATAGATACATTTAAAAAGGGATTGCCCCGTGGTCAATGACTAATAAGAAAATAATAAGGTTAGACTCATTGAATGGGAGAAAATAGGACAAATTTTTTTTTACGAAGTATGCAAAAAGACAAAGTGGATAACTGAAAGAATACAACTTGCCTGATAAGGAACCCATTATCTTGAGGAGCCTCTGATAGCATGGTGAAATTAACGCTCATCAAGAACTTATAAGGTGCCAGGCCCTCTTTCCTGCTTACCACAATCCTTTGAGGATAAATTATATAATTATCCCCATTTTACAGATGAAAAACAGCACTAAGAAGACAGGTGGCTTGTCCTAGGTCGCATGTCCAGATAACAGAAAAGCCAGGATTTGAACTTGCACTTTCTAGTTTCATAAGCCATGCTCTTAACGACTACTCTATCTAATTTTCCAGAAGTCCCATAAACAGAACAAAAAAAAAAAAAAAGAAAAAGTAGAAGAATTAATGGCATTAAATTGAAGAAAAAAAAAATGATCATAAAACCAAGATCTGAAAAAAGTCATTTCTAACATCAGTTAATTATGTTAAATTATAATGTCCTTTCCTTGCCCTTTTTCCCTTTAATATATAAACCAAAGATAATGACACCAGATTTAGTAAGCAAATTGCAGCTTAAAATTGTGTTATTAAATCACTTGAAAAAATAAACTTTATATATGAAAATGTAGTATTGACATAAACTTCAAAAACCGGCCAACCCATTATTTTTGTCACCAGTTTATCCATATGAGGAGAGCTAGTCTTCTTTCCAACTGTCCTAATGGTTCATTATGATTCAAAAAAAATTGTATTTTATCTACCAGACTGAATTATACGTGTGTATTCCCTTTTGCATATTGCCCTGGCATAAATAGAGAATTTTAAAGTAGTTAATTTCTTATTTTTCAGATCTATAGGCTTGTTATTCTTTTTAGAATAAAGAATATATTTCTATTACCTATTATGAGTAGCCTAAAACTTCTGGTACAGAAGTATGTGCCCCCCAATGTTTGCTATATGGAAGAATAGGGAAAGTACTCATCATTTCTCAATATTTTTGGATGGTTAGCCTCTGAATCTCCTAATTTTGGGTAAATTCCTATCTCCCAGGAATCTTGATGGAACAGAAACTAATGCCAGACATTGGCTTTCCCAGCCTCCCCTGCAGATGGGCTGTGGGGACATGACCCAAGATTCAGCAATCAGAGGCTCCTGTCCCCGGTCAGTCGATGACATACAAGGGGTAGATTAGAAGCAAACTCAGAGAAGCAAACTTCTCTGAGAGAAAAATGCAAGTTTGGCAGAACCCGTGTTGAAGGAAACATATTCCAAAATGTCTTATTTTTATGAAAGTACTTAAATGTTCAGTCACCTGAGCATAATCTGAACAACCTGGAAGGCCCCTAATGAAGTTGTGCACGTCATTCACGGTCCATTTCTGAATATCTTCATCCAAAGACAGATTTTCCCCAATTGTAACCAGTGGGTGCGCTCCTTTAAAAGTGGAAAGGAAATTATTTTGTGGTGTACAATTTCCAGGAAAAGGGGAAACTAAGAGCACGGTTTTATGTATAGTTACATTAATTTCCTTATATTCTATTACCACAGAGGGTCCCTTCATATCTATGTGCAAGCTCCTTAAACAATACTGAGAGATATTTTCTAAAAAATTTAGCAATCTCTTTTCTTTCCTTCTTCTAAAGGATCTTTAACGACAACATTATCGTAAATAAACAAAGACGTTCCATACTGCTTCATTTTCTCTCAGGTTCTAATAGACATGCCCTGTGGATTTCATTCACCAGATGAACACTGTCATGTTCTATGATATTCTATGAATTATCATGCTCTCTAGGTGACATGAGAATGTAGCCACATATTCATCGAAATGGCAAATTAACGCTTTGTAAGGGTAAGTCACCAACACAATTGGTTTGGTGACTAGATTACAACCACCTTCCCCAAATACCTGTGTTTTAAAATGTTTTTACCAAAAGCAGTTCTAGAAACTATTCAGTGTTTGTTTGGGAGGGTAGTATGTTAATGTTTTTAGGTAATAAGTTATCGTAACAGGAATGGGCACTGAAAGTTAATGCTTTTGTTTAACTGCCTATTGTTTTCTGCACTTAAATACAGGGGAGATGGAATTCATACTTTTAAGGAAGAAGTCCCTCTATTTTGTATTGAAGAAATTAATAGCAAATTAAATTAAAAGTTTACTTTAAAATTCTGGTAGGTTTCCCCATCCTTCCTCATTCTTGCCTTCCTAGCTTTGGCTGGAAATTCTCTATACAGCAATATATAAATAGAGACAAGTTTCACTAATGTGGCTTATTGGAACAAACATAATAAAGGGACTTCAAGAAGACATAGTCCTAAATAGGATTAAGAAAAAGAAGAATAAAAGGAAACACGATGGGAATGGTACATTATGTAATAACTTAAGGACGTGGTGACCTGTGGCTCATTAGAATCTGCCATTGGCCCCTGACACCCACCTGGCAGAGATGGTCGAGGAAGTGGGGGACAAACCCCATTCTTTTCACCACAGGCTACAAAGCCTTGCTCTGAAGTCTTCTCCTTTGCACCATCCCAGGCCTTTGCTTCTAGGGGAGCACCATGAGCTCCCCAAGGTTTTTTATGGGTGGGCTCGAGCTCCCCACAGGTGTTGCCAAGAGCTGGCTTTTCATTGGTTTCCCTTGACTTCTGATTGTTGAGAGCTTCGGTTTCTGGTTCTTTTGCAAATTCATCCTCTTCGTAGGGAATCACATGAGTCTGGCCTAAGATTTTTTCTTCTCCTTGACTTTTAGAGCTCTCAATATCACTGTCTAGAACTTTCTGATTCCCAGCACCTCTCCTGAGACGACGACATTTCTGACCCCAGCTCTCTAGAAAATGTGGACCAGCTGCCACTAGCGTGGGGGTTCCCTGAAGGTTTCTCAGGGTGCTTCTGTGAAAATGCAGGTCACTGGCAGGGAGCATGCTCCTGCCATGGTAGTTGGCTGGGCCAGGAGGGATGCTGGAGCTATAGAGGAATGGTATCCCTGGTCCTGCTAGTCCCTTGGGATTCACTTTTTCTATTCTCCTTTGCTGGTAAAATGCATGCATTTCCATTTCCATCCTAAAAACAAAACAATATATTTGATACACCCCCCAAAAACTGCTAGAAATATGAACTTAATGGTTCTCTGTGTTCCTTGAGATGGAACCTCTGCTTTTCCCAGGTCTTCCCACTAGTTATCAGAAGTTTGTTGGGTGGAAACACGAATTCCCTTGAAAATCACCGGGAAGGAGAGTTTGGAATGAGACCTGAGGATGAAAGGTTTGGCCGAATCTCACAATGGAAGTCCAAGGCCTGTCTTTAAAGCATTAGCTCTAATAGATCTGGCAAATTTCGCAGGAATGGGAATAACATAGCACAGGGTAGTTTCTTGCCAGAAAGTAATCCTCGAAGAAATCAGTTCTGGAAAGAGTTTTCTAAACCCCAAAGTATAATCTTAGTGGGACTCAAGGAAGTCAACGCAAGTCTCAACTGTCACAAATCAGTGCAATTGGCAGGAGTTGTGGGGGAGGATTTGTTGGGGGTTTTGCTTAATTTATTTTGATTATTGGTTATCACCTGGACTCATTAGGGTTCAGTGATGGAAAACTGAGTCTGAGGCCTTCTTGTACCCCGGGGCCATGCCCTAGTCATTATTGCTGTCTTTTCTTTCTCCTAGTTGCTACAGCTGAAGTCCACTTTTGGGGCCACTGACATGGGGCTGCCTGGGCTCTGCTTGTAGAGTCCGAAGTGGGGTTGGCAAGCTTAGCTCCTATATTTGGGCAGAACTGAAGTCTTTTAAAACAGAAGTGCAAATATGAATTTCAGGGGACTCACAACTAGGCATTTTAATTATGAGACATTATTAAACTCTTAAGATCTACAGACATAGATTCACTATGTAATTTCTAATCTTACTTTTATCTGTAACTAACTTAAATATATGTTTGTATATATTTCTTTCTGTAATATTCCTGAAGTGCTTTTTGTATGTAATCAGGTATCTGTCTATCTATCTATCTATCTATCTAATATGTATATAATTAGAGTTTGTATATGTATACAACACAAAATACAAATATAATGAATGCATATAAAAAGTATCTCTATATCTATCTATTATCTATCTATCTATCTATCCATCTAAAACCAATGAACACGTGAATAGAAAATAAATAAAAAACAACACCATTATGTTACCTGGCAGTATGCTGCCTTTGAATCATTTCATTCCTTCTTGCCATTGCCTTTATGGATTCAGGTGGTAAAATGCCCCAACCTTAAAAAAGAAAACCACCATCCCACCCCACAGACAAATTAACAATGTCCATTTAAAGATAACAAAAATAAAATACAATGATTTAAAAGAACATCCACCCACCAGTAGAGCACAGTGTTGGAAACAATATCAGATAATTGCTGTTCAGCATCTTAGAGTTACTTTGGTGATGGAATGATAAAACACTAGATAATTTTATTTTTCTTTAAGTATGGGTCTCATGATTGGTGACATTTTCCTGCCATACTTGAAAAGGAAAAAAAAAATGAAATGAACTGTGGATCTCTTTGTTTCTAGCTTTTGAAGCAAAAACTGATAATTTTTCTTTTCTTTTCTTTTGCTGCAAGAGAAATCAGTTGACCTTAAAAAAAAAAAGTAACTAAGTGCTTCTTGTGCACCAAAACCCCTGGAAATAAATGCAAGATTTCATGGATAAGATATAAAGCTCTCTATGTGGTGTGTCTGAGGAAGATACTTTTTGCAAAATGCCTTCAATGAAGTTGGTAGAAATTACATTCTTTGTGTCAATCTTCTGAAGTGTCTTGAAATAACAGCAGCATTACGGAATTCAAGGCTCTATTCTTGCCTGGTAACTTTATGCTCTATTGATTTTTTTTTCTTTCTCTGTACTCCTAATGCACTTAAAGTCTATACCGATGCTTTTTAAACCATCTATGGTAAAGCAGTATTTTTTTTTCTTTTAAAATTTCCGCCTATCATAGGCCAAAACATTTTTAAAAATATAATAAAACAGGCTGGGTGGCTCAGTTGGTTGAGCGACCAACTTCGGCTCAGGTCATGATCTCACGGTTTGTGAGTTCCAGCCCCACCCTGGGCTCTGTGCTGACAGCTGGGAGCCTGGAGCCTGCTTCAGATTCTGGGTTTCCCTCTCTCTCTGCCCCTCCCCTGCTCATGCTCTGTCTCTCTCTGTCTCAGAAATAAACATAAAAAAATTTTTTTAAAAAAATACAATAAAACAAACTTTTATAAAATTGAAATGAAAACAAGGACAAATACAAGTGTAATGTAAAACATGATCAGATTAATAGACATAGAATTACCCTGTCAAATTGCTGCAAAAGTTTATCTATTTATGCATTTATTTGCACAACCTCTTCATAGACCAGCACAGGTCCACAGAGAATTCTTCAACAATAATAGACATACAAATTGTACTTGTTTTATGTAGTTTTACATGTGAAAATCTGTTCTCCCTAACACAGGGGTCAGTATCATGAGAGAATTTCTTCTTGCACATGCTTTGTACTAAGTTAGAAGAGCTCATTAACTCCTATTAATAACCCATCTTAAAATAAATAATGCTATATCTTTTTTAAGGGAGATTATTTGTCATTTGTAAAATTCAGAGATTGGATGAGATGACCTCTAAAATCCTCCTAATGCTAACGCTTTATATTTTTTATAATTCAGTGGGGGGTCAAAATATTCTTCTCTAGAGAGCCAGCATGGGTGAAACTATCAACCCATGAGGTACTGACTGCAAAAGAATGCTGAGAAATTTCTCATGAGAAGTCCAGTTTAGAGGGCACAATTTTAATTACCTGGATTTTAGGGCCCTCTGAAATCTGGAATCCCCAAACCTATTCCAAGTTTCTTTCTCTTTCCTAAATAGATGACATCAAACTTAGTGCTAGTCCAGCTGTAATAACCTACTTTCTTCCTGATACCCAATTTTTTGAAATAGATTTGTGTCTTGGTTTCTATTTTGCTAACTTAGTAGCTCAGTTTCTATAGAACTGAGGCCCTAGTTTTCCGTTGCTTACTCTCCTACACATCAGCCTTGAGGCAGGAGACCTGACCTCTGTCCCTGAGACGGGTGGTGAATTTGCTTGCTTGTATCCAAACATTGGCAGCTTCCAGATTCTTTATCACTAAGATGGGCTCTGAGTCAGCAATGCAACTATTTCACTGGTCTATTTATGTGTTGCCTGTAACCATGGGCTATAGATTTACTGGGTTCTTGACGCCAGATGGGGTTTTCATCCAGGATTAGCCTTTGGGACAACCTTTTTGGTCCTTGGAACACTCTAGTGGGTGTGTCCAGTTTCAGTCAGGCCCTGGCTTCTACGCCCTATCCCCTTGCACTGGATCCATGCACAACATGCTCAGATCCAGGCAGACTGGTGTCTTCACTGGCCCTGGCACCAATCATATTTTTTCTTGTGCCAGGCTTTTCACTCCTACTTGTTCTTATCTATTGAGAGTTGTTGGAATTGGAGAGCAGGGACAAACAGAAACTCATGAATACAGTTTTGGGGGATAAGATACATCAGTTTGATCTTCTATATGATGAGGAATTTCTCTCTTCTTAGTCTCTCTTGAGCCCCCACCAGTTATGTTTTCATTGATAGCCCTCTACTGAAACTGCTCTTATCAAGATCACCAATGAGCTCCACTCAGCTAAATCTAATCATATATTCTTAGTTTTCGTCTACTTCATCTATGAGAGGCATACTTGACCCAGATGCTCACTCTCTCCTTAAAACTTCGTCCCTTGCCTTCAAGGCCACCAGGCTTTCCTGGGTCTCCTCCCACCACACTGTTTTCTCCTGTTTCTCCCTTGTTTGATCCTTCTCATCTTTTGGATCTTGTTGGTATGTCCTAGATATCATCCGTTTAACCTCTATCAACACTCACTCTAAAGATGATCTCATTTAGTCTCATCTATGCTGATGACTTCCAAAATTGTATCTCCAAGCTGTCTCCAGAAGTCCTCTCTTCACTTTAGCTGCCTTCCTGACATCTCCCACTGATTATCTGTTAGGTACCTCAAACGTAACAGGAGCAAAACAGAGCCCATAACATCTCTCCCACCCCAAGAACTCTGTTCCTCTCACACTCTTCCTCAACGGTGAATAGCAACTCTACCTCTCCTATTGTTCAGACCAAAATTTTTGCTATCCTCCTTAAGACCTCTCTCTCACACAGCTCATATCTAAACTGTGAGAAAATCTGTTATTTCTACCTTCAAAATAATTACAGAATCCAACTACATGTTACTATGCAACTGTCACCACCCAGAGCCAACCCATCATAATCTTTTGGCTCTTCTGATAGCCCATTAACTCCCATCAGTTTATCTTCAGAGCTTTGATCCTATCAAGTTTGTCTCAAATACAGGAGCCAGAGCGATCCTGGTAAAATGTAAGTCAGACCATGTCGCTCCTTTGTGCAAACTCCTCAAAAGCTTCCCCTCCTACTTAGGATAAAAGGAAAGCCTCCACTTTGACCTATCAGGCCAGAGATAAACAGCCCCAAGCCCCCTTAACTCTCAGATCTCATCTCCTCATGACCCCTTTAGTTCCTCACGTGTAAGATAAGACAGAGATATTGCAACTTTTCATGTTATTCCTCAGTAAATTGGTGGTTGGAGGAGTTAAGCAACTTACACGTGGTCACTTAGTGGTGGAACCATGATTGAAACCTAGGTAGCAAGTGCAGAACTTACAAGCACACCTGCCACACAGCTTTGCCAAACTTAGCAGTAAATGCAATGGCACAATGGCAGAACTTAATGCAGCCATCCAGGTCACATTGGTTCCACAGACCATCTATTGCTCATACCTGAGTAGACATGATTGGATAGCACGTTCGGTATATTTGCATTTGGTAGAACAGAGGATCCAAATTGGGAAGGAACACAAAACTGTCTTGGGTCAGCAGGAGCTACAGTGGAAGACAATAAATCTCTAGGAAAAAAAGATATAAAATAGATACAATGAGGATGGAACAGTACAAATTTTCCATTGCATAGGCAGTGAGATTTTCTAATTGCCAGATGAGATTCTATCATCTCTTCCAAAAATAAGATGCAAAAATCCTGCAGCCTCTTGGTTTCAGCAGAAATGTGGTGAGAAACATCTACTAAGGAAGGATTGACCCAGCTGACAACACAACAGAAACATCAAGAAAAAAAAAAAGTTTTAGAAATGTCTGGAAAAAATCTAATCAAATTAATACTGCTCTCTGATTTCCCATGACCAACATACTATTCTGACCACATTCTTTTCTCATGTAATGGACACACTTTGCCTTGGGTTTTGCCATCTGGGATCAGTGTTTGACTATGTGGTGGGCAGTTTGTTTGTTTTGCCAAACTTCAGTGGTCTCGAGAAGTCAAAATTTATTGTTCACACTCCACAACAACAATAATAATGGACATTACTTTCCTCTCAGAATGTCAAAATATTCTAAAGAGGGGAAAATAAGAAACTACCAGTTGGGGCGCCTGGGTGGCGCAGTCGGTTAAGCGTCCGACTTCAGCCAGGTCACGATCTCGCGGTCCGTGAGTTCGAGCCCCGCGTCAGGCTCTGGGCTGATGGCTCGGAGCCTGGAGCCTGTTTCCGATTCTGTGTCTCCCTCTCTCTCTGCCCCTCCCCCGTTCATGCTCTGTCTCTCTCTGTCCCAAAAATAAATAAAAAACGTTGAAAAAAAAATTAAAAAAAAAAAAAAAAAAGAAACTACCAGAGTGTACAACCTAAGTACTGATAATGTCACTTTTATTGAAAGAAAAAAATTGTTCTATCATGAGAAAACCAGGGTACTCAACTGTTATGGAGTGAGTTGTGTTCCTCCCAAATTCATAGGTTAAAGTCCAAACTCCCACTGTGACTATATTTGTAGATAGGGCCTTTCATGGGGTACGTAAGGTTAAATGTGGCCATAACAGCGGAGCCCTGATCCGATAGGACAGGTGTCCTTAGAAGAAGAAGAGGAAGAGGAAGCAGGAGTGCATGCGCAGAGAAAAGTGCCAGGTGAGGGCACAGCAAGAAGGCGACTGTCTGCAAGCCAAGGACAGAGGCCTCATCACAAATCAACTCTGCCGACACCGTGATCTATGGCTTTTCAGACTCCAGAAGTAGGAGAAATAAAATTCTGTCGCTGAATCCATGCAGTCTGTGGTATTTTGTTAGGGCAGTCCTTGCAGATTACATCAATGTTTATACCTGTATGATGCCTGTCCCATAGTAAGTGCTTGTTAGCTATGTGTGGAGTGTGTCTGTCAAGCAGGCCCCAGATGGGAGGTGATGGGAAGTGTGTTGAACGTGTGGCCAGCAGAGCATCTTGATATGCATTTGTGCGCCACAGTTCATGGAAGTGACACTAGACAAGAAAACAAAACTGGAGTCACCATCATTTGAAACATTAATGGTCACCCATTTTCTCCTTCGAACAGAATAGTATATTGGAAAGAAATACCGATCCACCGTTGGAGGTTCAAATGATGAAGGAACCAGTGGCATCCTCTGCTGCCCTGGTGCCGTCAGTAAAGGATTCATGGCCATCGTTGGATTTATCATCAATATCTCTCGCCACTGATGGAGTTCTAAAAAGAATCAGATAAATATATAAACAAAAAACTACATTTTTAGTGAACTATTTGAATTTTTCTTGAACACAACGAACACCTTTTGTATTTCCCCAACATCTGGGGAGACCAGCTATACCACACTTTCAGTTACACAAAACCCCCTTCACTGTGAGCTCCCTGACCCAACTGCAGACCTCAGTGATTTTTAGCTTGTCCTTGGAATTCGTTGATGAGTTCACAGGAAATACCACACCATATTACAAGCAATAATAAAATTAAACCAGCCTTACAAGATTCCAGAAATACCAACCTCCTTTCTTACAACTTACTTTGATTTTTATATTTCCAGGGGTACGAATGTGTCTATTTCCCATATGTTCAATCTTTAGAAAAATCTTCCTTTTTAATTGTTAAGATTAAAATAGAAAAGGGGAAAATCATAGTGGCTAAAAATACATCTAGTTAAAGTAGATATAGACTAGGACTGTGTTTAATTAGAACAAGTGAGCAAGTTGTATCCAAATATACATAAACACAGGATGCATAACTTTATCTGAAGAACCTAATGACCAGAAATAGGGACTGTTGTTAAAAGGATAATATTTTGGTTTACATCTTCCTGTTAATTATTCATGTCTTTTGAGTAATTTTAAATATTAAATACTAGTCAAGCAGGTCATTGTCGCTTTTCCTTCATCCTCCACTGTCACTTCAAAAAATTCAAGATACTTACAAGTATGGTTTTAAAATATTTTATTTTATTTATTTTGAGAGAGAAAACAAGAGTGTGCGTGCATGCACGCATTAGTGGGGGAGTGGCGGAGAGAGAGAGAGAGAGAAAGAATCCCTGAAGTGGGGGCTTCACCCTACAAACTGTGAGATCATTACCTGAGCCAAAATCAAGAGTCAGATGCTTAACTGCCTGAACCACCCAGGCTCCCAGATACCTACAACTGTGTTTTTTAAAAAAGGAAACTTGGGGCGCCTGGGTGGCGCAGTCGGTTGAGCGTCCGACCTCAGCCAGGTCACGATCTCACGGTCCCTGAGTTCGAGCCCCGCGTCGGGCTCTGGGCTGATGGCTCGGAGCCTGGAGCCTGTTTCCGATTCTGTGTCTCCCTCTCTCTCTGCCCCTCCCCCGTTCATGCTCTGTCTCCCTCTGTCCCAAAAAATAAAATAAAAAACGTTGAAAAAAAAAATTTTTTTTTAAAAATAATAATAAAATAAAAAAGGAAACTAGGGGGGACCCCTGGGTGGCTCAGTCAGTTAAGTGTCTGACTTCAGTTCAGGTCATGATCTTGCGGTTGGTGAGTTCAAGCCCCACATCAGGGTCCACATTGACAGTGCAGAGCCTGCTTGGGATTCTCTCTCTCTTCCTCTCTCTCTACCCCTCCTCTACTTGTGCACACTTTCTCTCAAAATAAAGAAATAAACTTGAAAAATTAGGAAATTGGGAAGAAAATGTTCTGCTTTTCAAAGTAGTGATCTTCATTTTTTCCTTTCTTGTATATTTGATTTGATTGTTAAAACAGTTAATACACTCATATAGACCAAAAACTAAAAATATAATGGTATTTAAATAAACAATCCCTTTTTTAGCTTCTTTTTAAGACTGAAACCTAATGATCATAGTCCATAGTTCACCTAACATTGGCTTTTGCCATTCATATATTTAAAAAATGTCTTTATGTTGACTTCTTTTCACTGGGTTTCTGTGAGGTCAGTATAGTTTCCTCTCTGATAGTGACCTCAGAGAGTCTATGACTAGTCAGGATTAAAATAAAAATATTTGCCAGGTAACTGCCAGCCACGGTGAGAATGCCAACAAAGAACAAAGGTTGGGTATATGTCAGACATGGGCTTGCAATTCTGGCAAGGACACTGTCGTGCCTTGAAATCCCAGGTCCTCCATGTGCAATCTGGCGCACAGCCCCCTTCCTCCCCTTAGTCCATTACACAACAGACCAATGTGGGACACAACTGGGTGTTATTGAACTTTCATTTGTGTCATAAAATGACTGTCTTTGGCAGAAGTTTGAACTTACCCACGAATGAGATAGCACCTTTTTTTTTTTT